CAGCTAATGTAAGAAGAACTTTCATTGTTGTAAGTTTAGAAACAAGAGAGAATTTGTCAAAGTAATATACTTCTTCCAACTGAGTGTAGCATTTGGATACAAGCCTTTCTTTATGGCTTTCAATGGTCATGGGATTTGTGTTTGGTTTCGTAATCCCATCTAAATCCAATAACACTTTTACCTGGTGGAAAATAAACAATGGACCAAGTGTGATTTTGATCAAGAGTAAATAACTCAGTTTCTATGGTTTGTTTCCAACAATCAGATTGATAGGCTTGTTTGTATGTTTTTTGGTTCAATGTTATTGGAAATGGAACAAAAAAAGGTTTGGTAAGAATGTCTGCAATGCTAATAAAAAAGGACAAGTGATAATGGATATGCAGAATGATTATGTGCAACATGATTAGTATGCAAAACACAATTACAATGAAAGTCTTGCAAATAACTAGGTTGTCTTACTACCTTAATTGAATTTCTCAAAGGTAAGGATTAAACAAGTATGTCAATAGTAGAAGTACCTAACAAGGGCACAATAGGCATGGCAGAAGAATGAGTGTTAGGTTCAGGTGGAGTAGTTGTTTAATAAAGATCTGCAGAGACGTGGGAGGTGAAATTGGATTAGTCATTAGGAGTATTAAATATGTGTTCAGGTTGAGTGACCAAAGGTTCAAGGTTATGGTCTATAGGTAAAGAGGATTGAGAGAGATCTCGATTAGTATTATGGTCAGGAGTATGAAAGGAGGTGGCATTTGTATGTGTTTTAAAGGGAAATTTTGTCTCGTAGAAGATGACATGTCTATAAACAAATATGTTGTGATAATTTAGGGCATATAGGATGTAACCTTTGGTGTCTTTTTTGAAACCAAAAAAGATAGTATTTTTAACTCTAGCATCAAATTTGCTTCTATGAGCTTGAAGAGAAGAGGCATAATATAAGAAGCCAAAGACTTTAAGATGTATAATAGAAGGGGGTATGTAGTCTATTTATGATGTGAATGGCATGTTGTGTGCTAAAATTACCCATATTAATGAGGATATTGGCTTGGAAAGAAAGGGATTTAGCCATGTTGAAGATATGTTGGTGTTTTCTCTCTACTAGACCATTTTTCTATGGAGTTTCAATACATTGCCTTTGGTGAAGGATTCCTTTTATATGAAAGAAAGAATCCATTCAAAGTTCATACCATTTTCAGTTATAAAACACTTTAAAGTGGCGTGAAATATGTTTTCTATGTATGATATAAAGTTGATGAGATTGGTTCTGGTTTAATCTTTGGTTTTTAGAAAATAATCTAAGTGAACTTTCTAAAATAATCTACCAAAGTGAGAAAATATTTATGGGCAAAGAGGGATACGGTGGAGAAGGGACCCTCAAAGATCACCATTTAGTAAATTAAAAGGAGCATGAAAAATGGAAGTGCTTAAAGGAAAAAGACAATTTCTTTTGTTTAGAGTAATCGTAAGAGACACAAGGAGACTAAGTATTTTAAATAGATACAAAAGGGGAAAACTTAGAAAATGCCATGTAAGCCAGTATTAGAGGTGTTTCCTAGCCTATAATGCCATATAATTGAGTTTGTATTAGAAATAGAATTACAAGTGATTGAGTCATACCTAATATTTGTAGTGTAAATCACATTTAATCTATTGCGCATTCTAGCTATACCAATCATTGCATTGGTAGTGTTTTGCAAGATATGACAAGAATCAGAAGTAAATGGCACACAAAAGTTGTTAGACAATGCAAGCTTAGGAATGGATATGATATTAACATGAAAGTAATGAATATATAAGACATGATGCAATGTAATGGTTGGAGAAAGGATGACAAAGCCAGAAATGTGAGGGATTATAATTGTACCATTAAGTAAGAGCATTGAAATTCATTTTATGGCGTGATAAGAGAAAAAAATAAGTGAGAGTAAATGCAATGTGATTAGTGGCACCAATGTACAAGATCCAAATAGTAGGGTACTTACCATCAAGGAGTGATGAGCTAGAGGTCAAGGCAAGAAGTGTACTACATATATCATTGGCTTTAGGGGTAGGATTAGTTTGAGATTATTGTAACAAGCCAAGGAGAATATGGTATTGTTCTTGAGTAATACCAAACGAATAGGAATTTAAATAACCTATACCAAATATATTATTGTTAACCTTAGAATCATCATAGCCATTTGATTGAGATACATTGCCTTACTGAATCTTATAGAGTAGTTATACTTTATAAAACAAGTATCAGTCGTGTGATTTTTCCTTCCATAATGAATACAAACATTGTTAGTGCCTTTAGGGGGACCTGTACATTTCCACTTAGGCTTGCCTTGGGAACCATTAGCCATAAAAGATACAGAGGTGGAAGAATGGTCAGATGTATCAACATGAGGATCTTCATCAAGCGGTTATAACCTATCTTTTACAAGATCCCAAAGATCTTGGTAACAAAATATAACCTTCATCTGTTTGCACCAATTCTCATAGTTATCAACTTTCAGAATTGGAAGACTTGCTGGAAAATTCTCATTCGCATAATTCATCGTCATTGTGATTTTCTTCTTTTTCCCTTGATCGCTCAACTAGAGCTCTTGATACCAGATGTTAGAAATCCACCAAAATCTAAGGAGAATTTCTATCAATCTTGATGAACAAGATTTTTATCACTACACAATAACGATGAAAAGAAAAGAAAATTAAAGAAGAAAAGAGAATAATGTTTCTGCAAAGTTTCTCTCTGCCAACAAATCGTGGAAAATCTTTATTCACTTGCAACTGCAAATTATGTGAATACAAGTTGTATTTAATAATAGGGGGTTACTCCCTCTATTTATAATTGAACTAGCTTGCTCCCTAAATCAATGCTCAAAACTATAAAAGCCCAAAATAGCTATTTTAGATCTAAATCGAAATCCTGTGTGAAACAGTCTGCTTCGACACTTCGACATACACAACTCGGTAAATGATTTAACACACACTTGAACTATTTCGACAAATAATTTAACACACACCTTGTGTCGAACAATATACTATTTTCGACACAAGAAATTACACTTTCAACAATAAAAACGATTAAAGTGAATTGAATTTTTTATATAAAATTATTTTTCATATATTAAATGTTCACTTACTTGTAATTTTTTATATTTTAGAACCCACCAATAGTCATTAATAATTATTATTAACCACAAATAGAAAATACACAATAATAAGTAAATATGGAATTACATTGTTCTACAGTTTTATTAATATTTTACATTTATGAGATCGTAAATATGAAAGTAAAGTATTATATCACTATTTCTAGCGAGAATATTATATTATAATATAAAAATATTTATAATTTAATGTAATTATTTTTACCATACTTCACATCTTACTATTATGAGATATATGTTTTCGGATTTTCTAGGACCTTGAATTTGAAAATTCAATAGAAGAACCACTAACTGTAGAATTATAATTTATATATTATATTAGAAGTTGAATTTATATCCGTTATTATTATATTATATTATATTATATTATATTATATTATATTATATTATATTATGTTTTTTATAAATTTATTTAGTTAAAAATATTAAGTCACAGGTTGTAAAAAAAATTTTTAATCTTATTAGATCGGATTATTTAATTAAATATGAATAATTTTATAATAATATGATATTTGTATTTTAAATTAAAATACAAAAATAAAATTTAGACATCTAAAAAGATTTACGAAAATACGCTGAAAATTTTTTATAAATAATATTATAAATTATTTTCATAAGTTCTCTCAAATAAATAGTATTAGAAAATATATGTTAATAGATAAATTTGAATAAGTCAATGCGAATAAACATCTATTCTAATTAATTTTTTAATTTATAAATCTATTTTAATATTAATTAAATTATTTATTTAAATATATTCAAATAAAATAAATTTTTTATGTAGGTTAATAGATTAATCAGATTTTTAAAATGATCACATTCAAAACATAAAAATAAATCTTTGAAAAATCATATGTCAGATTCAAACTTTAAAATTTTTAACAGATACTCTAATTCAGATTGATAAAATAAATAATAACTTATTTTGAAAAATAAAATAAAACAACCCTTTTTTCTCTGCATGTATGCCCTCGTGCAAACCTCGTTTACAACATTATATTTTTAAAATATTTCCATCGGAAACCTCGTGTACAACTATATATTATTTTAAACCTTGTTTCACGTGGGGAGCAGGTATTTAAATTGCAAATCCATGTTATTATTTTAATATATACTATAGAGGTGTGCTATGTTAACACCCAGTTATCAATACATACTATGTACACCGTAAATTTCTTAAAGCATTTAAACTGTGGAACCTACCAAGGCAAAATGAAAATTATTAAAAAAATCAAATGTACATCTACCTGTATAGAAATACGGTGTTGTTGTATGTTTTGGTGTAAGTCTAGCATTTCTCTATACGATAAACCTTTATTCCTAGAACTATAAACTTTGAGAAGTGCTATGCATACACCACAATTCTTACACCGTATCTTACACCAGCTAAAATACAGCAAAGGCATGCGTTGATTTACATTGGAAAAATGAAAAATATTAATTATGTATATTACAAAAACCAAACCGTATTAAAATACGGTGTAGTTATCATGTTTAGTGTAATAATATCATTATAAACTTTCTACCTAAAATATCTATAAACCTTTGACTTTCAGTCAACGTTCAATACACCTACCCTTGGCTTTCAGTATTATAAGTTAGTTTGATTCACCTGTTAAAATATAATATTTTTGTGTTTAGTTGATGAGGAAACACTTTCTTTTGATTCGGTTTTAGAAATTAGGCCACATTTTTATGCATTAATAAGCAAATTTAATAACCTTCTCTGGTGGGGAAGCAGAATAATATATCTAAGATACTATGAATATAATCATAAAGGAGAGTACTAATGAGTAATGAGTAATAATGAAATAACAAGAGTATTCTAAAATGAAGCTAAAAACATACCTGTAAGAGGGAGGGTTTTTAGGCCAAAAACGGTAATCAACATTGGAAGGTGGCCATATAATGTGGAAAAAATGATCCACCCAACCTTTCTTCCCACTCAACTCTTTCTGATGCTTTGATCCATACCCTTCCGAAGAATTTGACCCAACAACAGGTTTAGCATAAACCTCTTTTTCTTCTTGTGGTAACTCAAAGAACTCTTTTCCAACACTTTGTAACTTTTTTATAACTTCATTTGGAATCTCGTGGTTCACAATTTGAAACATTCCCCACTCTTTACTCGCTTCCATTATCTCATTTTCTAACTTTTCTTCATTTGGGTTGCTGAAATCGATAATGGGTACACCTAGTTTCACACCGTGAACGGTTGTTGTTCCTGGTTGTTCTGTTTCTGCTCTAAGGAAAATGGACGGAATTGTTGAGTCTTTGGATTCATGAGCTATTGTTTGTACTCTTACTACCTCCATTCTTAGTTTTCAGATTTGGTTTTCACAATTCTAAGTTTTTTCTCTTTTGTTGCTCAAGTGATATTCTATTAATTTCCTATAGTCCAATATATACATACAGGGTTAACTTAATACACACTCATTAAGCGTAGCTTCGTACACTTTTACTGTATTTTTGAATGGAGTCTATCATTTTATTATTATTTTTTCTTTCAGGTTTGTCATTTAAAATAGTTTAAAACCATCTCTATTTTGTTTGTTATTATTATTTTTAATTATTTCATAGCAATTTAAGAAAAGTTATATTAGTGGGGTTTTAAATAGCTACATTAATAACTATGATACATTAAATTTTGTAAATAGTGAGATTAAAAATCTTTTAAATTAGTATATATATAACTAAAAAATATCATTGGTAGCTACGTGATTTTTATGTCACAACGTGAAAAATAATGCCATAATAAGTAATTAGTAATGTGAATTTTCACGCTAAAGGAGCTCGTGTGAGAATTCTGTTGCGACGTGAAATTCACATCATAAGTTTGTCACATGATATTCACGTCGCAACAGCTTGCTACATGATTTTCATGACATAACATGTTGCGCATAGTTTAGTAGGAGCGGAGATGGCAAAGTAGGTAACAATATTTGCGACGTGATTTTTTAAAATTTTAATTAAAAAGATTTAATATCTTACAAAAATTAAAATTTAAAAATAATAAAATAAATCACATTGTGTCAAGACTCGTCACTGTCATCCTCTTCATCCATTGGTTCTTGACTTCTCTTTTGTGATTGCATAAATTGTCGCATTTGCTCCTCCATCTCAAATTGTCTCTTTGACATTGTGTCGTAACTGACAAAAAATACGAAAGTCGTCACCACTACTTTTTGTCCTAAGGACGGGAAAAGAACGGATAACCCTAATTTTTAAAAGATTCTTAGGTTTGCGAGTTGGTTAGATAAAGAGAATGTGTTAGACACCATTTACCTCCCTTGTACTCAAGTGTACCCTATTTAGGTTTAGGACTTAATGAGAATTTTCTACTTAAATTATGTTATTACCATATATATATATATATATATATATATATATATATATATATATATATATATATATATATATATATATATATATATATATATATATATATATATATATATATATATATATATATATTGTAGTTAGGGGACTCGCCTTGCACTACAATAAATAACGCTTTTCATGATGAAACTTACACCTCGAACAATGAAAAAATGAGGGTATAGGTCCTGGAAGCGTTATGTTGTACTAATTTTTTTAAAGACCTCGGATTACTACTACAAAACACGCAAACAACAACGCCATATTTACAGCGGATTCATATACACTGTAGTAATATGTTAAAATTTTCGCCCAGTGAGTTGCTGGATTTATAAACAGTAATTTAATGATGGTTGTCTTTAAACGCCATAGTAAAAATTAATGTGTAGCGCGCTTTGGTTCCCATCAATTACATTTTTGTGTGTGTCACTTAAGTCCATTATTTAAAAAATAAATTGTAAATAACTTAACAACTTTTATGTACACCAACCGTTGTTAGAGGACTTAAGTTTAAACTACGGTTGCTTTGTCCAACCACGATTAAAGGGTTTACTGATAAATTAAAACAAAACTTATTTTGTATTTCTTTCATAAGAGGCCCTAGGAGAACAAGCAATCCAAAGATGACAGAGGTAGCGTAATCTTTACCCTCTTTGTATCCATTCATTTTGAGCTCAAACCTTCACCATATTCGTTCATTTGATTCTTCAGCTTTGCAGTACGACACTCTTCATCATCTTCATTCTTTTTTTCTTGGTTTATGTTGTATATGCTCAAATATTCACCCTGTTCATTCATTTGATTCTTCAGCTTCGTAATACGGTACTCTTTAACATCTTCGTTCCCTTTTTCTTAATTTATGTTGTATATGCTCAAATATTCACCCTCTTCTTTCCTTCAACATCTTCATTCATTTTTTCTTTGTTTATGTTGTATATGCTCAAGTCAGGATGATAGTACATTTTTCATATGCTTTAGGTTTATATTTTCATATGCATATGCTTTTTAGTTTTTGGATTAGACTTTGGTGTGTCATTCACATTATTATACGTGTATAAATTTCAGAAGTTGTTATGAATCGTAGTTGGATGAAAGTTGATAGATTAGGTCCAGTTTATGAGAAATGAGTTCTTGAATTACTTTAATACACTGATAAACATCTTCCATACAACAATGGTATCATTTATTGTCCTTGTGTTGTTTGTGCGGATATCAATAAGAATACAAAGGAAGAAATATTTCATCACCTTGCAGAATAAGCTATTGGGTTTTGTATAAACTATTTTTCGGACGCGGATTCTATAGGAATTCCAAAGTCTCATCATGCTGACACAGACAAAAGAGGTATTAAAGGTCTAAATATTAAGTCAATGGATCAGGATGTAGTTATTCAAGCACATTTATATATTGAATAATATGAATGAAGTTCAACCTTTCATAGATACTCACAAAAGACTTTTGAGGAAAAAATATCCCCAAATGAGTGACAAGTTTTTGTTGATAGAGCATAATAAGAGATTCATATATTGGTTTAATAAAAGTGTATCTAATAATCGTAGTGCATCCGAGATACTTAAATGGTTATCGTACGAGCCAAAATTTTGTGTCATTACTTGGACTGCATACAACATTGGTCATTATACCTTTTATACAAAATCAAAAGATGATCGTAGTACAATGCAAAATAATGGGGTTATGGTTGAAGCCAAATCTATGTATTTTTCTAGTTCGAAAGATAAGAATCCTGTATTGGCAACTACCTCATTTTATGGTGTCATTGATCAGATTTGGGAGATTGATTATGTTATTTTCAAAGTGGCTTTATTTAAATGCAAGTGGATTCCCAATAATAGTAATGATGTACACATTGATAACTTAGGATTCATCTGGGTCGACCTTAGCAAGGCCTATTTTATGACCGAACCATTCATCATGGCTTCTCAAGCAAAACAAGTTTTCTATGTTACCAATCCATCAGACATATCAGGGAAATGACCAAACATTCTCCAAGGAAAACACAATCCTCTTAGTGATGAAAGTCTTGATATTTCGTCCACACCTTCTTACACAACACAAGTTCCTACCTCATATGATGAAGTTGATGGAGATGTTGTTCATGCTACTCAAATCAATCATGAAGAAGACATTTGGGAAAATTAATAAGTACGTAATTTATTCTTTATTCATAATATATTCAATTGTATGTTATAGTTTCTAAGTATTTTTACTAACAAATATAATTATTTGAAATTATAGGTCTTTAGAGTCAAGAATCCAAGAGACAAGACACCAAGAGACAAGACACCGAGACACCAAGTTACAATTATGTGATGTTATGTAATGTGTAAATTGTAGGTTGTTTGTTCTGATAAATTGTAGGATATTTGTTATTGTACAATTGAATATGATAAAATTATGTGATATTATGAATATGATACAATTAATATTATTATGATAACTTTATCACAAATGTGAGTTGTATTTTCTACTGTGATATGGTGAATAATAATATAGGTTAAAAAATGGGATTAATTATAAGAGTGGGATAATATTTGTTAATTATGCAGAAAATGTAACAACAATTATAATCATAACGATTATAATATCTCGCACGCTGTCCAGAAAAAATAAATATCAAAATGGTGCAGCTGGGAATCAAACCTAGGACCATTAATTTTATCACAACGGTATTTTGGTAAGCCCGTTGGGATAGTGAGCATGCTTTTCAATTTATTACAACAATTTCTAGGCCGTGATTGTAAGTACCATATATTCAACGATACTCTACATAACAACGTATGAGGCCTGCGTTGTTATATATCTTTCTCAATCGTTGTTAAATGGGTTTCTTGTAGTAGTGTATATTTAATATAACTGAGGTAAGGTAGCAATAAGGGAGATCCCTTCAACACCCAACTGCTGCATTTTATGTTTTTTTTTCAATTGTTTAGTAGGTATTTCTCACTTGGCGCCTTTCCAATTTCCATTTTTATTTTTTTATTTGTTCCTTTAGTATTTGTCTCGGTTACAGGATCCAATTGAGACATAATATATTTTGCATTAACAATTTCATAATACTAATTTCAAAATCTTATTTTAATACTTTATTTGATATATTTTAACCCCTCGATTTTCCTAAATATCCGATGCGATATATTTTTTAAATGAATTCCCAGAATATTGCGCTATGAAGTTATTTTTGTATTTTATATTTTTAATAAAACAACCACGTCGGCTTTTTTGTAAAACCGAAATGAAACTTATTTTGCATGAAATACTTCATAGAATTATCTATCTAGTTTCTAACTTTTCATTTACCTATCAACACTCAAACTTCAGTTCCTCACTCTCATTTTGCAAAAAACCCTAGGCGATATCAAAACTCTTCCAACAGATATTCATTAAACATCATTTTCGCAACAACTTTGTTCTTCACTGAATCATTAGTTTGTATATTCATCAACACTAGCTTTTTATTTTGTCCATTGATCATTTTATTTAGGGTTTCTTTGATAATTTTACTATTGATCATTTTATTTATATTATTTTCCATTTTTATACTCATGAACGTTAGTTTTTCACATTGTATATTCATCTTGATAATCATGGCCGATTCGACAAGCACCTCCCATACAACATCTGCTGCAAACTTTGTTAATACACAAATTCGTAAAAGAAAAACTATAGGTGTCACAATGTATAAAAAGGTGAAAAAGCCAATGAATCTGGTATTCGACACCCGGTTAGAGTTGATGTAGAAACTTACAAGGTTAAAGGTGAACATGTTGATGATTCTTTGGGTTACATTGTGTTACAAGGTAGAAGTAAAGTGAGTATTTTGGTAAATAGTTGGCATGACATTGACGATAAATTTAAAAATGACATATGGGTCGATATTACAATATTGATCTTGTATCCTATCATTTTTTTACAAGTA